ATATATATATATATATATATGTATGTATGTATATATAAAAGAATCTAAGACAGCTTGCTAGACTTCATTGTAACCAATGAATTGGGTTACCAGGAAGCCTGGGATTCTGTGTTGAGAACATTGTATAGCCTGTAACAGACTCTCCTTGCTTTAGGCAACAGCTTACATACAGTCCAGCTGCAAAGCCAGAAGAAAGCCCAGATAACCTTCTGAGTGTCCCACTAGCCCAGTCTGTGATTTCTAGAAAACTGAAGATTTTAAAACTGGGATTGGCATTTGCTTTTCAAAAAGAAACAGGCTAAGAGAGTTTCTCAGATGAAATCCCCATGGCCTCATGAAAGTACTTTTTTTTTTTTTTTCCAGTTTTATTTCCCATCAGAAGCTTATATGAAAAGCATTTTAAGTTTCAAAAGCTGCCTGTGTCTGAGAAGCTGATCCAGATTCTAGCCCAAAGAGAATGAAATAGATCACAATTTCTTCCTTTCTTATCTTTGACTACAGCTTGTCCTTTTGCCCTTCTCTCCCCTCCTATGTTGGACTTTGCTGCTAAAAGCATCTCATGTTCCCACAACCCTCTTAGCTCCAAGGTCTTCTTGCCTCCCATAAAAACCTACTTTTCACACCCCCAAGGCCAGCACCTACTACTTACTCTCACCTAACCTGTTCTGCTCCTAGCTTCTGTCTTCTCCAGGTGAACACCCTTGCATCCTAAGCCCTCAAACTGCTGTGAAGATTTTCCTCCCTTCCCCCACTTCTGTCTCTGGACTACATCAAAACCTTTCCCCAGGCTGGGGGTGGTGGTGTGCACTTGTAGTCCCAGCTGTACAGGAGAGCGAGGCCAGCCTAGTCAACATAGCAGGACCTCATCTCTTTAAACAAACAAAAGAAAAAAAAAAAAACCTTAGCCCAGCCATAGTGCAGAAGAGGCCAATAAGGGTTTTGCCCCTCACCCTGCCTGACACTTCATCTTCTCCACTAAACACGATCATTAGCAGCTGCCTGTCATCTGCCTATGAGACATGTGGGCTGATTTCTGCTTTGATTGAAGTCTGGTCATTCATTCAGCAGATTTTTATTGAACATTGCTGTGCCAAAGGGAGTATAGAAAGGGCAGCCAGGGCCCTAACTGACTGTCAGTGGGATGAGAGAGTGATGGTGACTGCTGTGGGGAACACGCAGCTCTGCATGAGCGACATGGGTCTGGGCCTGACCAGGCCACACGAGCAAAGCTTGGTGAAAGGTCAGCCAGTAGACAGGTGTGTCCAGAGCAGAAGGAAGTAGGACTTTGAAGATAAATAGACCCTGTAGAGGGCTTGCAATGCAGAACAAAACAAGGAGTGTGGATTTGATTCTGGAGACTTTCCCTACCCCCTTCCTGGAGCTGTTGCTGGTGCAGTGGAGGGACACAATGGGATCACATGCTGGTTGGGGGAGGGTGAACTTTGTAGAACCTTGAAAGGGAATGGGAGGGAGGAAGAGATCAGATACAGAATGTCAAAGGATTTGGAACACCTTGCCAATTTAGTTATTTTGGCAAGTCATTTCTAGTAACCTGGGACACGCAGTGCAGTCCTCTCACGGCCCTCCCCCTACAGCCCTCCTGGAGCACATTCATACAATGTTGCAGGTATTTGATGTGATTCCTTTTCCCATTTTCCAGAAGGCCTGAAGGAACCTAGTTCGGAGGGTGGATTGGGGGCAAAAGGGAGATGCAGGGCAGTAGTCAAAAGCAAGGATGGCAGCAGCCAAGGAAGAGGCTTTTGGGGAAGAGCGGCCAATGCGAGGCCATTGGACACAATCTCGGGTATGCATGTCTAGGAAGCTGCCCCGGCCTGCTCTTTCCTGTGGTGTATGTGGCTGCCCTGGGGTAGATCATTGGGCAGTTGCTGCTTTGCTGCATTCCCACTGTCCAGTGAATTTGTTTTAGTCCTCGGGTGTTTTACATAAGGAGAAAACCATGTAACCTTCACAAGTTTTTTCCCACTCATTTAAAAAGGCTTGTTTTCCAGCCAACAGCATGTTGGATAAGCTTAATTTCTCACTCAGATCAGCTTAATTTCTCTAACTGTGATATGCATACAGAGAATTGCATAATTCTCCTTTTGCAACATGTTTTCCCAGCTGCTGAGCAGCCTGCCCTTTTCCCATGGGCCTCCTGACACAAATACAAACAATTTAAGGCCGTGTGGTACCAACTGCTGTTCATCACCACAGGGACTGTGGATGTCTGTGTGTTTCCCCTTGGGCTGGGTTTGTCTGGAGCTGGTGGCTTCTTTCTTATTCTTCTGTGCATCCTGGGAGTTGGATCAAGGCCGTGCTGGGTTGTGTGGAGAGCCACAGCCGCTTCTTCAAGTGGGGTCCACTCCCTGCCTAGCCCAGTCCTACATTCTCATTGTGTGAGGAAATGAAGTCCATTCCTTGGATGCGTTTTGACGGGAAACATGTTTTCTGGGACACCTCTGCTTAGTCTTTGAGTGCAGCACCAAAAGCCTTTTGATACCTTGTTTTGTAAAAAGTACATTTCCAGAGTGGAGCTTGACGCTGCTCATAAATAAACACATCCGTTTACAGGCAAAGCAAGGGAAGAACACATCTGGGAACAGTTTGACCAGGGGTTTTGCTTTTCCCTCTGTGAATGCCTGGCGTGCACTGTCCATCCAAGGATAGCTAGGGGCGAACAGTATTCTGTGGCTGCCAAAACCACAACAAATGACAACTTTCCATTCTGTCATCTCTCTTGACTCCACTGCTAGCAAGCAATTCATTTTTCTACCATAAAAGGGCAACATAACTTTATAGCCACGGTGTGTTCTGCACTGCAGAGACAGAGCGGGAGATGGGCAGCGAGAGGCGCTCTCAGCAGTAGGCGCGGCTGTGCTCACCCTGTGCCCCACACCCTGCTTAGTCTGGGCTCCAAGACAGCAGCAGCCGTAAGAAAGAAAGAGCGGGAAAGGAAGGCGATGTGGTGCTTCTGCTGTGCCCTCAGACTGGGGAATGTGAGGTCAGGACAGGCTGGCATGTCATCTTCATCTCTGTGGCTGCTGGACATGTGAATGTGTGGTTCAAACCTTGGTACAAGTTGCTGCACTGAGTCTGCCCAGCTGGTTTTCTGTGTGGTATTTGAAACTTTTGACTTGCAATTGTAGATGTTAGATTTGTAAGTGAGACCCAGGAGGTCATATAACCTGGATATACTTGTTGTACAGATGAAGAAGGAATGTGGATAGGTTAAATGTTAAGCTCATGCAGCTTAAAAGTCATCGAACTTCTGTCTCTTAGTTATGTCTGAACTTTGCATTCAGGGATAGCTCCCTAACCTGTGTCCCTGGTGCCCCACCAGTGTACATTTTGGCTCAGTTAAAGTTGAGCCACAGAAGCCTTAACTAATAGAAATACAGTTCTTAGTTGGTGGATTTGTATGTCAGTTAACCAGGATCTTTGCAGAGTATATTGTCTGTTCTATAAAATGCATGGGTCCTTTAGATGATTATAAATAAATGTTCAAAATCAAAACAGTAGTTAGTAGGCAAATGCCTAGCTATTTTGACAACACCTAGAACACTTTGAGACAGTGGCCGTAATATTTCTTCCCCATGTACCCTAGCAGACCAGCAGACCAGGAGACCATCCCCAACACAAGTTACACAGCTGCAGAGAATGTACTTTCCACAGACTTAAGGGCGTGGCCACCACGCACATCTCTGCTCCAGAGCAAGCAGGTACTCAAATTGAGCCATGAGTAGAGCTCATCCTTTTCCTTGGCTCCCTTGAAAGTTTTCCTATAAACAAGAGCTGAGATTTGTTTTGTCGTTTAAGCTTACCTTAATTCTGACTGTGGTCTGATTTCATAGCAGATGCTGGAACTGAACTGAGCACATTGCCAAGGGAATAAAAATTGTGTCCAGGAATCTTACTGATCTGGAAGTTTTGGAGGAAAGCAAGGATTTTCAAGGTCAAACATTATTACCCAGATAGTGTTGGTGGTCAGAATAGATTCTGAGCTCATTGGCTTGGAATCAAAAGTTAACTCAGAAGTCATTCCTGAAAGAGAAATATCATTGAGTAGTAGTGGCTGAAGCAAACTCAGTGTGAATGATTCAAGTACTGCATACCTAGACCTTGTTTTGAGGCTGAAAAACTTGTTTGAAAACTTCACCGTTCAGCAAATAAAGAAATTGGGTAGGAAGTCCTAAAATGAAAAGTTTACAAAATGCCTTTTTTTAGTAAGACTTTTCTGGATTCTTCTTTTCTCAGTAGTGTAAAACTGACTATCTTAATCTATCAAAGAGCTAAGAGGTATAGTTTTCCTGACACTTTCCAAGACCTTCACTGCCTTAGGAATAAACCGACGAAGCCTGGGAGCACTCCTCTCACTGTGCTCCTCTCATGTTCTTTGCTTATGGAAACCTTGGAAGCCTTTGTTTTTTTGGTCAACAACAGCAAGTGAATTCCATCTTATAATTACTAATTTTCACTAAGTATCATTTTTAAGGCTAATTTCTTAAGCAAGTAGCATCTCCTTGTTGGCCTGAGAGTCTTCACCCACATCCATCTCTGTCTTTGCATGCCTGGGCAGCCTAGCCATGGGTGACCAGCTTTAGAGACATCAGCCTTGCTTCCTAATTTGGTCACGGTATGCTTCAGGCAGTGTTGCCTAACTTTAGAACAACACAAGCACAGGGAGTAGCTTTGATACAGCAAAGGGGAATTTCCTCTTATCAAAAGGCCTACAGTTCCCTTCTTACTTCCTCTAAAAAGAGGAAGTGACACTTGGGGAGGTTGTAGCTTGCTCTACAGTTCCCTCTTTAAGCCTGGCTTCTTCATGCCGGCTTCTTCCTAGGTAGTTCCTGCTCTTTCCTTCCTCAGATGTCTTGGAGCTTCTCAGCATTAAAGGAGTTTAATTTTATTCTAAGATGATACAATGGAATAGCCATCAGCAGGGAACAGTTTCAATATGTTTTGGTACATCTATACAGTGGAGGTCCATGGGAGGGGGGGAGGTCAGCATCCATACTGGGATTCAGCAGACTTTTTCTACAAACATCAACGCCAGGGTCAACAGACTTTTTCTATAAAAGGCAAAGTAGCAAATATTTCAGGCTTTGCAGACCATATGGTATCTGTCCCAGCTACCTACCTCTGTC